GGGGGGGGGGCAGGAGCGTTGAGGAGACAACTCGGGAGAAAAGTGGTGAAGCCCCGGCCGAAGGCCCCGGGACCGGGTGGGTCGCCCAGAAATGATTGGCTCTCTGCTCACCTGAATGGCGGCCCGGCGAGGGCCGCCGGGGGAAAGGCCCAGCAGGCCGAATCTGGCCTTGTCCAGGCGCCGCGCGAAGGACCGAGGCCCGAGACGGGGAACATTGGCGGACTAGAGAGCTCGAGGCACGTCCAGCCCTCAACCAGCTGTCCCCGGCTTCCCCCCCCCCCCCCCCCCTCGCATCGGGCTGCTCGAGGGGTTGTTGGGGTGATCCAACAGAGGGCGACGTCGCGCCCGGGGACAAGTGCGGATCGAGCCGGCCAGCCGGCCGGCCCCGGGCCCGGCCGCCCCCTTCCTCCCCGGGGGGAGACCCCAGGGGCAGCGGTGTCCTTTTTGAAAAGCGTCCGTCCCGAGCAAACCAGCCCCCTTTCGGCCCTCCCCCGGGGGCGGGCGGGGGCGGGCGGGGGGGACACGAAGGGGGGCGCCCCTCGGGGAGAGCTCGTGCGCTTGTCTGGCGTCCGGGGAAGGTGCACACCTGGCCGCCAGGCTGAGCGGTGGGCGGCGAGACAGCCGAGCGACCGGGGGCGGTGGGGAAAGCAAGACCTCCCCTGTGCCAGCAACAGGACGAGAGGTTCCAGCCCCCCCAGCCCGGCGGGGACCGCCGGGGGGAGGGCGGGGGGGGGGGGGGGGACATCATTAATGAAGCCAGGGGATGCTTCGGCGCGGGGCGGACCGGTGCCTGGCCGCGGCGAGCGCAAGCAAGCGGCCCGGGGCCAGAGAGCGGAGGCCCACGAAATATGCCAATTGCCAATGTCCCCCAGCCGCGCCGAAAGGCCAGCTGGAATGCCTCGGCAGCCGGCCCGACAGGCTCATTCTTCGGGCGCTGGCGAGATGGGGCCCGCTCGGCTGCTCGCCGCCCGCCCCGGCACGTCCCGGCCGCCGCGCCCGGGCCCCTCCTTCATCGCACGTCGGCCTCCGGTCTTGGCATGCACCGCGCGAAGGATGAAAACCGTGGCTCGCCGCAATGACGAGCCCGCCCCCGGGGGCATGGGGTACTGCGGGCAGGACCGGGGGACGTGGACACCGGCACGCAACAGTCGCGCCGTGTCAACAGTCCCCTCTCAGGACGAAGGATCCTCCGCCCCCCTCCAACTTGGCCCGCGGGAGGGTGTGTTTCAGCGCCCCCGGTCCCCGGCAGGCGGGCGTCGCCCAAGCGCGGGCGGAATCTCCGCCGTGACATGCTGCCGGGCCGGCGTGCACGAAGACCGCCTCCCTCCCAGACCGGCCAGCGGAGGGGAGCCGGGCGAGGGGGGGCGGGGGGGGCGGGGAACAACTGGAAACCACGCCCGCCGGACCTCGCCCCGGGCCCCCGTCCGTCGTCGTCCGAAGGGCAGTGCCACTCTGCGGGCTCATTTTCCGGGGACATTCCCCCGGGGCCAGGGCGGCACATACTTCCTGTCTCCGCCGCCCTCCTGCGGCCCGCTCCCTGGCCCCCAGAGTCCCGGCCCCCCGGTGTCGCCGGGTGCCCCCCAGCGCCCGGTGCTCCTGGGAGCTCCGAACAGGACCGTCCAGAACACACACCACCCTGAGCGCTTTTGCCCCCCCCCCCCCCCCCCCCCCCTGCACTCCAGTCACCGGATCCCCCGAAGAAGGGCAACCTGCCACAAAGGAGGGCCAATCAGCGGGCAAGGTCCATTGTTCAGGCTGATCCGGAGGCCGAGGCGTCCTGCGCCGCGCCCTCGCCGGGGGGGGCCTTGCGTTTCTTGTCCGGGAGAA